CCCAGCAGCCCCCTGCCTCCCCCTCCCAGCCCCCTGCCCGGCCTTGACGGCTCCCTCCGCTCCCTGCCTGCTATCCTCCCCACAGCTCCCTACCTGTCCCCCCCCCGTCCCTGCCTGCCTTCCTTCCCCCTCGCTCCGTGCCTGTCTTGCTCTCCCCCGCCAGGTCCTTGTCTCCCTCCCCGGTCTCTATTTCCCCCCATCCGTGCCTGCCTCCCACCCATCCCTCCGTTCCTGCCTGCCTTTCCCCCCCGCCCAGGTCCCTCCCTGCGTCCTCCCCGCGCCTGTCGCTCTCTCCCCCCATCCCTGCTTGACCCCCTCCATCCCTGCATTTCCAGGCCCTGCCTGACATCCCCCCAATCCCTTCCTCCCTTCCCACCCGCCAGGTCCCTACCTGCACCGCTGCCTGTCTTCCCCGCCCCAGTCCTTGTCTGTCCCCCGCCTCGGTCCCTGCCTGCCCCCCCATCCCTGCCTGCCGCCCTCCCCCGGAGCCGGCGACGGCTGCGGGGGCGGCCCCAATCATCCCGGGGGGCCACGGGCTTGAGGGGGGGTGCGATGTGCCTCAGCACTGTGGATGTTTTGGGTTGTCTTTGTCTGGAAGAAGGAGGGGACGACAAACAGTCCCCTTGTCCCCAAAGCAAAACTGAGGTCTCTCCAATCCCCCCCCGCCCTGTGCCTTTTTGCCCACTCCTGCTGTCCCCGTGTGCTGTGAGGTGGGGAGGTCTGGGGGGTGCTGGATGGATTTGGGGGTTGCTGAGGAGGTTTGCGGGGATATTGCAGGGGAATTCAGGAGGGATGCTGTTGGTGGTGGACTTTAGAGGGATGCTGGAGGGGGAGATCTGGTGGGGCAGTGGCGGGGGTGATCTGGGGAGGTTGCTGTGGGGTGAGGGATTTGGGGGGATGCTGAAGAGGGACTTGGGGAGCAATGCTGGGTAGGGTTAGGAGGGATGCTGGGGGTTAGGTGGGATGCTTGGGGGATTAGGAGGGATACTGCTGCAGGGTGAGGGATTTAGGGGGATGCTGCAGAGTGGGAGTGCAAACATGGACCCATCAGCATCGCCTGCTCAGCAGAGCTGGTCTTGTGGGATGCTGAGGGTCACCCTCGCCCTCCTTGAGGCAGGACCCCCCCCAGCAGGTCACCCCCTTTTCAGGGTCTGCAAAGCAGAGAGGCAGGAGTCTTATTTTTCCTGGAGACCCAGCAGATGCAAGGGCTGTGGGGACCCATTTCTGGGGTGCCTCTGTTACCTCTTCACTTTGGAGCTGGATTCAGTCATTGCCCCATGCCCTGGGACAGAGCTGGCTTGGCCAGGGAGGATGGTTTGCTGCAATTTTGGTTGCCTTTGGCTCAGGACAGACAGGGCAGGGGACACAGGACATGGAGGAAAGGCCAGCAGCTGATTCAACCCTGGAGATGGGATTTTCAAGCTGCATAGAGCTCTGCCAGCATAAAACTCCTGCAGTGTCGAAGCATCCAGATATTTCATCAAGAGCCTCATAAAAACACTTAGGAGGGAATTAATAGCTTTTCATTCATCTGATGGTTCAGATGGTAAACAGCTCCTGGGCCACTGACCGAGAAGGCAGCAATGCTGTGCGGTGAGTTTCTGCTGTCACAGAACGAGGGTTTTGGTGGCAGTGGTCCCGGCTTCATCCCAAAAGGCTGGTGGCATGAATATGGGCAGGAATTGGGATTACAGGGATGGCTTTAATGTGTTATCTGCCTTGGGTCCTGCACTTTGCATCTTCATGCAATGCATCAGCCTCTCTGCCTGGGGGTGTTTCCATTCCTGTGACTGTTTTGCAAGGAGGCACCAAAAGCCCAGGCAGGGCGGAGGGCTAGGTCCCACACCTGTGTGTCCTCCAGGGCACAGGGTTTAAATGCCTTCCTGGTGTGAAAACAGCTCTCAAGCCCAGAGCAAGGTGGTGAGTCTCTGCTGTGCACAGCTCTGATGCAGTCCAGCTGCTGATCTGTCCCAGTGAGAGAGAAACTCCGGATCGGGGAGTGCAAAATAGCTTTCAGCATGGCTGAGGAGCAATTTGGAAGAGGGCTCATCACTTCACTCCCAGCACAGCCAGAGACCCCACACTGACCCTTTTCCAAGGGGTTAGCTGTAAGGAACTTATTGTCCTGGCAGGTTCCAGCAAACACGTCCTCTTGGCTCAGCTCTGACATTTGTTTATTTTCTTTCAGCTGGAATGTTAAAAATAAACCCAGCGGATACATAAAACAAATGGAAAATCTTTAAAGAGCTTTGCTGTTCATTTGTCTGCATTTAGTTGCTGTTGCTCCACCTCCTGAGCCGGGCTACTGCCATGGCTCTAGTTTCCAAAATTGGGGAAACTGAGGCAGGGAGGTCATGTCAGAGCGGAGAGCATCACCCCATTGCAGTGCACGAAGCCTGAGGACCATGCATGCAACAGGCAAAGGGAAGCAATGGCTCCTGCAAGTCCTGACTCCCATCGCTGGTGCTGGTGAGTCCCCAGGCAGCAGCAAGGGTGCCCGGGCATCTGGGACTTCTCTCTGTGTGCTGAGTTTTATTGGTGCCACTTTATCTTGGCTTGAGTCGTGCTCCTCTATGGGGAGTGCTCCTCTTAGGAAGTTCTCCTTGGCATTGTCTTGGCTTGTATTTTCTCCTCTCCCACGGCCTCCAAACGGCCCCTGTGCAGAAGAGAAGTTAAATCAAATCAAGGTGGAGAGAGTAATGCTGAGGCCGTTGAGGAGGAAAATTCATGGTGCTCATCTGCCCGGCAAGCTGGGGTCCATCTGGGGGGATTTACAGCTGCGGCTGCTAAAGGCGGTGTTTTGATTTACTCAGAGGCTGCAAAGTTGACAAAGCGTATTTCACCGTGGGAAGACCCTCTTCTTCTACAGAATTTATTGATTTTAATTAAAATGGCCATAGAAATAACATGCAGGAACCGTGAATCTACTCTGGCAGGACTCCAGTCAAAATCCATGGGAATCTCTGGAGGTTAATGGAGGAGGCAACAGGGGAGATGATTTCTCCCCAGAGATTTTCAGGAACTCAGGAGGACACTGAGCCTCTGTATGTGCTGCTCAACTTGTCTGGCCATCATCCTATCCAAGAGAGCCTTGCACCATGGTTCCAGCAATGCCGGGATGGCTGTGTCTTGTGATGATAGCTGCGGGACCAAGGTGTGAGCCGGGGAGCCAGGTCACCAGGGCAGCTCTGCCAGGTATATAAATATATAAATATATAAATAAATATAGAAATATATAAATATATATATATTTAAAAATATAATTTCCAGTTTGGCAGCTACCTTGAGTCCTGCCTGTGACAATTCAGGGCTGTGATGCATAGAGGGGAAGCTTGATGATTATGATTCCCCCTCCCCAGTGCTTGACTTCCCTTTTTACTGGATCTTTTTCCCAAAATTTGAAGAAGTGGCATTGGAGCAGCTGGGTGCAACGGCTTTTAGTTGGACTGAGGGTTGCTTTTGGCAAAACAACCAGCCCCAAGTGTTGGACGCACAGGCTTTCCCTGGCTTGCACTGCAGTTCGTGTGCTGCTTTCTCACCTGCCGACACTACACAAGCAGGTTTTTTATTTGTGCAGGGTTTTACCACTCAAACTTGGAGCTTGGCATCTGTGAGCAATCCTGTGGGGACAGGGATTGACTGAAATGCCACTGTGGGTGCTGCATCCTGGTCCCATCGTTGTCTGTGACCCTTCCTAACACCCCGGCATGAACTGGTGCTGGATGGTACCCGTGGGCAAGGACACACCACATGTGTAGGTACCTTTTTCCTCCATCTCCTTGCCTGCTTTTCCACTTGCCCTTGACAAAAGCATTTTGTGGGGCTTTTTGTCGATGGAGCACTGTATCCCTGGGTGCTCAAGAGGAGCCAAAAAAACCCAGTTGTGGCAGCAAATGAATAAACTCCTCAAAAAATCCACAGCACCAGAAGTCAAAATCAGATGCTGCTTGGAAAGTTTCCTGAATGTTTCATTTGCACCCTGCCAAGAGAGGGACTTTATTTGCATGGCTTTGCTCTTGGTAGCAAATGCAACCCCTCCTGCACGGAAGGAAGGAACATGGTATGGGGAGGTGACAGCTCCTGTCGGGCCCACCAGCTCCTTTCCCTTCTGCTCAGCAAAGCCATCTGCTCTTGGGGGTGCGAACCCATTGCGGGGTCTGCGAGTGAAGCCTAAAAATAGCAGGATGTATAAGAGGAGCTGGAATCACGCAAGGAGGCAGCTGGGCTAAGCGAGGCAGACAGCAACCTGGGCAGAGCAGAGCAAGCTAAAACAGCTCCTTCTGCTGCAGGAGGAGCCTCTCTGGGATAGCTCGAGGCTGAGCCTTTGGGATTTTCCAGGTCAAAGATGGGAAGTTGGAGATGGGATCTAGGCTCTCACAAGGCTGGAAATCCAGGTGGGTGCTGCAGCACCCAGAAAACCACATGCAAAACCAGCAGGGTTGTGTTTGCACCCTGTGGGTGCTGCAGGAGAGCTGACAGGGTGCCCTGTCCTGAAACCTCCCCAGGGACAGGCTCTAGCCCATCACCTCCCTGAGCCAGAGAGCAAATGGGCTGTAACCAGACTGTGGCCTCCCACGGGGAAGCTGCACTGAGAGCAAGGCACAAGAAGCAGTGGGGAAGCGCCCAAATGAATCCTCTGCAACTAATGAAGCTGGCAGGTCAGGGCTGAGTGTGACCATGCCTCTGCCACGTGGCCAGAGCCACATGATCCCCACAGACCCCAGTTCCCCTTTGAGCATCCTGGAGAGGGGATGGGTGCTGGGACCAGCAACAGCCTTAGTGAGAAGCAGGGAACAGGTTACACAGTGGTGAGAGCGGTCCCATATGTGTGGCCCAAACAGGAGTCTGTCTGTCCATCCATCTATCAGCTTACATAACTGATATACCAGATGGGCTTTACCAACCCCCACCTGCTCCCCCTGAGCTACCATTACACTTCTTCAGGGCCTGATTCACCCCATCCTAATTCAGCCCCTTCAGGTGGGTTGGATGGATGTGCTCAGAAGATTTCTGTCTCTCTCTGATTGCATCTATGAGAAACCAAAGTGGACAGTGAGGTGGAGGCATCTGGATGGAACCCAGCTTGTGGTGAACCACTTCGGGGGTTTGGTCTTGGCTCCGTTTGCACCCAGGTCCCCTTGTTTAGAAGGATGGCCTGGGACATGTCCACAATTGCACCTTGGGGAATTGCAGCAGGAAATGTCTCCCTGTTTTCTGTAGGTCTGAGATATTTTGGGCTTGCAAGAAAGGGAACCAATGGACCAGATGCTCCATGACCATCAGCCCAACTGCACTGGTACCCACCAAGCTGCAGGTCCAGGCTGCACCCCCCAGCTCCGCAGAGCTCATCACTTCCCCTCTCTCCACTGACAGCTCCAGATAAATTGGCTTTGCAGAGGAAAATGGGCTGATTTGTGTATTTTGTTTTCCCACATCAACAGATCTGAGTGTTTCCATACCTTGCGGGGCAGCTGCTGGGAAAGAACAAAGCCTGTCCATCAGGGGAGTTAAAATTAGATG